CCAACATTTCGGCCCAAATTTTCCTTTACTGAACAACACCTCCAATCTACAAATAATCACCATTACTTACTATAATAGAAGAGGTGCTCACTTCTCAAAGGTTCTCGATTCCACTCTTATAGAACTCCGGTGACTACAATAGAAAGAGGAGATGGACCGTATTTTTTCTTCTTTTTCTTATTTTTTTCGAATAGATTTACATTCATTTTCAAGATTTTCCTCAGGAACCCAGTACAGACGAGAGCAGGTGGTAGCTACTATGTCCTGTATTCAAGGCGAACAAGGTCGCACTCTTTGATCGAGATCCATACTCCTATGACCGAAACTCATCAATCACATGCGGTTTTCGCATTACCGAGAAGAAGGAAGAATTCGAGTGTTTTTGAATGGAGTCAAGCGTGAGAAGCTGATTTAGTTAGCCAATGGCCTTCACTGTCGTCCCAATATCCAGCGACATCGCTCTGTAACCCCATCAGTAAGGCCGCATTCATTAGCTTGCGACCAATGAGAAATGCAGAAATCGAATGAAGAGATATGCCGGAAATCTGCGGAAATGACGAAAAGAATTGTACATCGATTATCGATTATATACATCGATTTGAAAAAAAAAATGCAGAAATGCCGAAACTGCAGAAGTGCGGAATCTGCAGGAAATGCAGAAAGCAGAAAGTGCTGAAAACCGATACGTATGAGTTGCTTTTCCTCATTTCCGCAGATTCCGCATTTCTTCATTTCTGCATTTCTGTATTTCTTCATGGTCGCAAGCTATGAATGTACACAGCGAAATTTTGTTCTCATGTACATTTTCATTTGGCTGAACAGGCGATTTTTCTCCTTGGAAAATCATGTGAAGATTATGTTCATGGATTTACGCAAGGGAGTCACCCCTCATTACCACACAATGAAGTTACAAAAGTCCTTCGCATTCTTCCTGAAAAGCGGTTATAAGTGGAGAAGTAACGATGATGCCCACGAGCTAATGGTACTAGAGAGGTTGCTAACTTAATGGTGGTTACGTCGGCTGCGCCTTTAGATGGTTCAGTAAACTGTCGCCATTCTGCGTTGGTGTCAGACCTATGTCTTCCCTAACTTTGAATAAAATAGTTCCAGCGTGCAGGCGCTGATAAAGCAGGTTTTAGACCCCTCGTTCACAAGTAATTGACCACACTGGGTTCATAACACCAATGGTATACGAATGCACGCTTGACCTTTGAGGATTCTGAAGCCAAAGACAAAAAAAAATACACGCCTGCAGAAACCTTCAAGAAAACCCTCTTACTGATGATGGTAAAAACTCGCCAAGATGTTAGCATTGATTTGTTTTTGAGGCAGATGTTGAAGACGGTCTAGTGTTTAACCTAACATACAGAGCTATAGGAAGCAACAGACATCAGTAGTACGATGATAGCAACTGGAGATCAACCTCTGCTTGTCGGCTTTCGGCAGAGGCCCATGTTCAATTTAATTTTGATTGGGAAACTGCTTATGAAATAGCAGGGACCAGCGATATCAGTTGAGAATATGAGACTCAAGTCTCACCTCAGTTTGAAGGATTCACTTTTAGAAATGTACTGTCGATAATGCAAGACTCTGCCCCATCATAATTTTACCTGCCTGGCAGCATATCCGTATTTCTGTTTGTTGAGGAAAAGGGGGAAAAGGTGTTTATCCGGCTGCGCCTTCTGGTTTTAGTGTTGAACATTGTGCTCTTATTCACGGTTTTTGTGTAAGTAAATCTTCTGTCACGGGACTTTTTGCCGCGTAGAAATTTTCCACTTTTTGTCGGCGTGACAATAAACAAGGCGGCCTTTTCTTCGAGATTTTCATGGCAATTGACCTTTACATCATTGACCCATCTTGGCTGGGACTTTTCCTAAACGGATTTTATCCGAGACCACACAAGGTATTAGAGTTGCGAGATCCACGATTTCTTTCTATCGGATCGCCCGGCTTCGTTCCCTTCCGTGTGTGGAGTGGGTATTGCCCCAGAGTTCTCCCAATGAAGGCCAGTCGCATCGCTCAGCTTCAACGGCGTACCACAGCTCTTCCCCCTTTCCCCCCTCCCTCCCTAAAGGCAGTCCGCCGAAATTATATAGAATCACCCTGCTATCGTTGAGGCTATTGCAGAATGGGCTATGGGCAGGCGGAAATCGTTCGTACACACCATGGTTCTCTAAGATGTTCTCTGTTACGTTGTCAGTCCAACAGGATGGCTCAGTTTCAGCCATACTCCTCATTTCATGGCCCGCAAACTAGAAATTTGGTAGCAGGTGCCACCGATTTGTAGTACGCCCCCCCACTATGAATGCGTCCTCCTCATTTCGTCCGCCAACTGATTGCCTATTGTCTCGCACTTATTCCGCTACCGGGTTCGCTTGAAACAAAACACAAATTTTCTTGCAGCAAAAAAAGGCTCCTGGTCATGCAGCAAGCCCACCTATAGTGGCCACATTGCCCCCCCCCCCCCCTCCCCACCGAGCTATGCAAAGCGGACACTAGTCCCGGCTAGTTGTCATTACACCACTTCCGCGCTACCGTATCCCACGCCTAGTAATAATCATTTTCTGGAGTCCTCATCGACAAGCCATTCTCTATTAGTCGTTTTTCCTTTGTTTTTTTTTTGTTTTTGCTATGGTCCGTAGCGTCTCACACTCTTGGGCTGTTACGTTTTTTAGTTCCATCATTCGTCGAATATGTAACTGTACATAACTATGTAACCATATGTTGTTTGAATAAACACCCCTCACTCACCGCTAAATCTACAATAGGAAAAATTTGAGGGCGAGTTTCGGAGCAGGCTTTTTTGGACTGGAGCGCGTTATCCCTTCACACTCGAAATTTGGTAGTCAGCTTCTTCCTCTTCATATATTGCCGATGGAAGCTATAAACTATGCAGACGGGAATCTGTGAGATAACTTTCCGTTGTAGCGCCATTTGGGAACGGCCGACTTCTACCTTTTTAGCAGCGAAGGTTCCGATGCTTAGTAAGCGGTGCTTTCTTTAAAAAGCGTTTCTCAACGTTTCACCGCAACAGATCAGTGGTTTTCTTGACCATGGAACAGTGGTTTTCTTTTAAAAGTGGTCATTCCACAAATCTCAATAACTGCTCTGAATGAATCATACCATTTCCAGCAGTTCTAAATCCTAGAACTGTCTGTGAGCAGGGTATTGCTGGAAATTGTATCACACCCCGAGCAAACTCTTTACCATAAAGACCATGTCTCTTTGGATCTTTGCAAACATGCCACTTAATCGAAATTGATGGAGACAAAGAGAAGCGGTGCTAGAGACTCGAACTTCCCCTTCTTTTATGGAACGGCAGTGACTCACTGTTACAAACAGCCTGCCGTTTGGTATGATGCGAAGGCTGATGACTTTGCTCTACCCATATTCCTTTTTCCCGACAAATGGAGGGTAACCCAATCATAAACGATGGCTTGATATATTTCTTTCACGTGCGAAGTTCCTTCGTGTGGGCCATATATGTACGTCAAGAGCTACAAGCAGAAGGCAGGAGATTCCGGCTAATCAGAAGTTCAGCAAATCAGCTTCACCATAGAATGCTTTAAATTTTTAATGAGCAGGAGCTCGCTCTCAGCTTCTCTAAGCAAATCAGCGGAGGTGCACCTATCATTTGGCACGAGGCCATGTTCATAGCTTACAATACTGAAGAATCGGTGAATAGCGAAGCTGATAGAACCCGACAATAAACTAAAATACGCGAAAAGGGGAGCATAAACATCCGACGACACACACACGGCGAGTCAAATGAATAAACAACATATGGTTACATAGTTATGTACAGCTACATATTCGACGAAAAATGGAAGTAAACTTAACAACAAAGAGTGAGAGACGCTAGGACCATAGCAAAACAAAAAAAACAAGGGAAAACGAATAATAAGAGAATGATTGTCGATGGGGACTCTAGGAAATGATTGTTACTAGGCGTGGGATATAGTAGCGCGAAAGTGGTGTAATGACAACTAGTCGGGACTAGTGTCCGCTTTGCATAGCTCCCCCCCCCTCACCACCGCAACTGGTTGTGAGGATTATCGTTCTGATCTGCCACCAGGTGACTCATAGTGTCGTGTGTTGTAAGAATGGTGCGTTACATAGTCCTTGGATTCCCATTGTACTAGCATCCTTGTTCAAAAATGAACAAGTTCGCCCAGCAAGAATTTTGTGCAAGCGTCAGCGAAATTCGTGTATGTATTCGTGATGCGAATTATAAGGATCTATTCCAAGCCTTCAAGTAGCTTGCATGGCGACCTCTGCCAAAAATATCGCGAAAATTTTTTACGAGTGCGAGATTCGAGTATGCAGACAAACTTTTTAACCCATTGCGTACCGCGGCGTTTTTCGCGAAAACGGGCGCCTGTGGCCGAGCCATATTTCGCAACCTCGCCGGCGTGCTGCACATGGTGCAGCACGCGGTACGCAATGGGTTAAGAAGCAAAGTAGAACGATCACCCACACGGATTTGGAAACTAGTAAATTCTCGCTCTTGAAAAATCATAACACTTCCTCCCGGTAGGTCCACCTCCACGAAACAAGACTGTCGCGGATTTTGGTGTGAGGGTTCGCTGCAGCTGCAATAGAAGGTTTCTATGAGAGGCAGCCTAGGTGTTCATCTATAAAGCTCCGAAAGATTTCCACTATGCCCTTACTGATGTGAATGCTACGGCTGAAGTTACCTTGGACACGATAAGTTGTGACATTTAACAAGAACAGCGTCGAGAGAAACGGCTTTAGACTAGCGGTACGAATAAGAAGGTCCTATCAATCGCGCGATGATTCGCGATGCAATGCATGACTCCGCTTAGGGGTCAAAAAAGAGGAAGTCTTTAATTCCTTCGATATGGCCTAGGCCACTGGCCCTTACGGAGACGGTTTACGTCTTCATTGCACTTTTCCTTCACTACAGCCCTTGCTGCTTTTGCGTTAGCAACACTTCACGTTTTGATGCTAAGTGTTCTGTGTTACTAGTTCTGTATTACTCAGTAAAGTATAAAGGAACGGACCTGGGAACTTGAATCGAGTGTTTCTAAGACAGCTGGGAAGAACAAACGAAGTTTTCTCTTGTCCTCACTTGTCAAGCTAGTGAATTCGTTGCTAAGGCTGAAAAGGTAACACTGGAAGAGACACTCATGCAAAAAAATTCTGACTCACATTTTAATTGCATCCGACTCTTCCTGTTCTCTGCTTGCAACCTTCAAACCTTCATCCAATATCTGGAATTATAGGAGCGCAGTTGAATTGAAATTTTTGCGCGGAACTACCCCCGTTGACTTACTTTTTGCATGAAGTTGTTTGCATCACCTCCTGCATACAACAGCCTATCGAGATTCCTTCGATCTTTCTGCAAAATTCCGTAAAAAATTTAAGAGTATGACGCTAAAGCCAATTCGCAGTCTACGTGTACTAGGATCCTTCTATTCTATAAAGCAGTAACTTGTGTGTCGGTTTGTCGGTCTATGTATGTATGTATGTATGTTTGTCCGTCCGCAAAATGCTTCACGGGTTCGAGTTCGCTGGAGGAGAAAACGACCGCTAGGCAAACCGGTAACCGATTGGTGCGGATGTATCAATCCAATGTTTTGATTGTGATAACAGCCTCCGCTATGTGCGTGTGCCCTCCCCCCCTCTGCTCCCTTCCCGTGCAGGTGCTCAGCCAGACCTGAGCATGTGCAAGGGAAGATGCAGAGCCGGGAGGGAACACGGGGCGTTTGTTCCAAGGTATGATACAGGCTATGGCACAGGAATATTATTGGTGGGTGACAAGAACTGCTAGCTGCTGATAAGATTTGATAAGGGGAGTTAGAATGGGAAGGTCAACATACTCACGCGGGACACAGCATCAGTTAGGCGTTGATTTCAGCAAATGATATAAAGGGGAAGGTGGGGACGGACGGAGGCTGACAGGAAGTGATAACAGCTGATAGGGGCTGATAGAGAACGTCCATTGTTGTTCAGTCAAAGTGCTGGAGCCTTACACTACCAAATTATAGAGTTTTAGTGATAGCGACATTGATGACGGGTGACAAGCAATTTTATCAATTGATAAGAAAAGATAAGGGGACATTCTCACGACATCTATGACCACTACACTGCCAAGTAATAAAGTCTCAGTAAGCGAATTTTCCTTCAGCCATCACTTCTCTGATAGCAATCCCATCCCACTATCCTACTATATATAATGTCGATGTCGGCGAGGTGGGGGGGGGGAGGGGCATGTAGTTCGCTTAAAACAAGAAAGCAGGAAACTCAGGAAAATTCCGAGGAGAACCGAAAAACCTGAATAGTGGCACTTCATGCGTTCAATAGCTCTTTTTACCTTTGAACTTTCAATTACTGATGAGAACGAATAACAAGGGAGTATAGTACCTACTAATAATTATACTTCAGCGAGCGGATTGCATGCTAATTGAAAAGGGAAACGTTCATCGGTAGGCATTTCGGTGGGAACGAAATCTCCTCTTTTACTGAGCGATTCACATTGCGCTGTATTGGCCGACTACACATTGTATCTATTCTACAGATTTATGTATTGTATGGGCGTTATGGCGCGGACCACACCCCTGCTGCAAGTAGGAGCGTGTGCTAAGTAGTGCAGGATCCTAAGCCTTGCTCTATCTGTTACGATTCGATCACTACAGCGCACTATTGAAAAATCCGTTAAAATTATGGAGCGCGCCTGGCGAAGCTAGGCCAGCTCGGCGAAGCCGAGCTGATAAAAGAAGCGAAACACTTGTAATACTGGAATTCTGCTTTTTTTCAGAAATAAAAAGATGGATTTAGAGTTGCTGTCCGCTTAAGGGATACCGGCAGGACCTATAAGTGCGGGATTGCCCTATATAGCTGCGTCTCTAGGTATTTTGTAATATCATAATCGGACGTTTCGGTGGCAATAGGGACGTGCGGACAAGCCGCTTTCGGCTGTTTCGGCGCTACCAGTGATGATCGCCTCGTTGTTGATTAAAGGCACGGTTCACGATAAATCAAGGCCAAAACCTCGCAAACGCGCACGACGACGAGGTATGCACCCCTCAGTGGCTGCACTATATGAAAACTTGAAAACTGGCAACCAGAGCGCAGGGCACTTCAGTTTTAGGCCCGTTCCGGCCTCCGGTGCCCGTGTCGTTGTGACAGCGTCATTGCACTCTCTCGCCCGTCGTTTTTTGGCCTACCTTGTCTCTAATAGGTGTACCGTCCCCTTTTGCAGTTCACAATTGATTTCACAATCTTACGCTCGTCCGGAAATCATGATCAATTGCAATGACGAGGGTCTTATTACGGACGGTTTTCGAGCTTCCTCCTCCTTCAGTAAGTCAACAAGCACACGGCAATTCTATTTTTGCACTGTAACTTATGAAGTGTGATCACGGGAATCGCTTTCTAGGAAACAATCACTGGTGGGCTCATCCAATCCTTCTTGGAACCTCCTGGTGTGATTACAGTGTCATGAACTGTAAGCAGCATCACCTAGTACTTATCTTCGGTCCAGATAATCTGGCATGTCAATTCATTCGAGAGCAAACTGAAGCAAACTGAGCAACTGTGTTCGAGTCCGAAACACAACCTATCGGGATAGCTCATCAGCGATGGCGCTATTTTCTATGGATCTTCGTGCAAAAAAAAGCGAAGATTTCAAAATATGTTATACCCTGTTTGCTAGATAAATTACTCCTCTATAGAAAGTTTTTTCAGCTTTCAATTCCCTATTAGCTCTTATCCACTTTCAGTCCATTAAAATGGAGTGGCGAGTCGACATAAGTGAGAGTTTTTTGACAACACTATCTATGCTCCTGCAAAGAAGGAGTTGCCTTGTGACGTATACGGCCGAAGAACGACTTTCTAGGACACTTTCAAGGCTTGTCATACGTTCGAGCCGGCTAGCTGCCTAATCCACCCGAGGACAGCTTGCTTTTCGTTCGAGCCGATTACATGCCCCAAGTTAGCGAGCCTCTCCTATCGAATGACGGTTGTGCTCAATGAGAATGTGGCAGCACTGCATATTAGCTCTACCAACTCTCCATTTTGGCACGGATCTTCGTGAGAGCTGTTTTAGTAAGCTACCACTCGAGCTCAACAGAGCATCTGCCGTGGCGTGTCTGTAAAATCGAACCGATATCTTTCTAGTTCGGAGCATTTTTCCCATTACCTAGGAGACGGGAGACGTCTTTGGACACACACGCACGCACGCACGCACGGTTAAGCACTAGGCCTCTGTAGATTCATCTTTCTCGACTGAATGCGAAAAAGAAACGAAGAAGGTGTTGAAAGTTTGACTTTGTCGAATTGACATTCCGCCTTGATCCCGCCTTGATCACGTGAAAGTCGGTGGAAACAGTTTGTCGCGGAGGCACTAAGGGCACCGCCATACAAAGCTGGGAATCATCCCTAAAAACATGTAGAGCTCGTTAGCTAATTCTCCTCAATGGCCAAAATTTTGAGTCGCAGAGAAAAATCTCTTTGTTTGTTGGTTAACACATTGGCGACAAGGCGCCTTTTCGCGTGTCTGCCGCGTGGGACCAAGCAGTTTTTCCCTATTTTCGAAGAATGCGCATAAATGCTAGGGCGTTTATACACCAAAACAATTGAAGAACTAGAATTCAATGCAGAAGCTGGTAAGGCTTCGCTGTTTTTGTTTACTTTCAAGATAAACCCTAAATTTTCATGGAATACTCCCGCCTCATTCACGTGGAGCGTGGGAACAAGGTCGCAAAAAAGGAATATTTTCGCGCCAGAGGTGGTAAATTGGATTCGATTCCAGATCTGCTATTGTTGAAAGTTACCTTATCACATTAGCTATCTGCATGTGGAGCTTCAGTTCTATATATCCAAGAATTATCTTTTTTCCTAGGAAATCACTTTCGTTTGTCTCCTCGGTAAAATACCTCATGACACAACTACATGGTTTACACGTACTGTATACAGGGTGGGCCAAAAAAAGTCACTCCGACTG